TGATCCCAATCTGAGCAGTAAATAGTAATCCCATTCTGAGCAGTGATACCAATCTGAGCAGTAAATAGTGATCCCATTCTGAGCAGTGATCTCAATCTGAGTAGTAATCCCACCCTGAAGAGTGATCCCATTCTGAGCAATGATCTTATCCTTAGGGTCTTAACCCTAAGCAGTAATCACAGTCTGAGCAGTGATCATACCTTGAGGAGTGATTCCTGTCTGACCAGCAATCCTGGTCTGAGCAGGAATTGATGGGAATGATCCCATTCATTACTTCTTTGATCTTCCTTTCACCCTCAATATGTCTAAGCCTATGCACACTTCTTGGCCTCCTAATTCTGCTTCCCCAAATCCAACCAGTCCCTTTTGTTTTCCTTGGGTTTTTTATTTCACTAGCATCATATTTAAAGCATTTGCATTCCTGACAGTATTCTTTTAATTTCTCCCCCTTTTTAAATTATCATGAGCAATCACCACACTCGAACTTTTCTCCAAAGAACAGAAAAGAACATATGAAATTGTGAATCTCCACTTTGTGTATCTTTTAAAAAAATATATTTCAAATTTAACATTGTAATTCTAATGCTGCCCTACTTTTCAGTATCCCCTTCTAAAATTTCTTCTGCACTTTTCTGTATATTTCTAAATGATTCATTGATATTGCTCTTTTCTTCCTTTACTTGGTCTTGCTATCACTACCTCCTGCACAATCCTCCCCAAAACAAGTCCTCCCTTATAACAAATAAGTATAATTAAGCAAAAATAAATCCATACATTAATTATGTCTGAAAATTTATGTCTCACTCTATACTTCTAGCCCATTACTTTTCTGCCAAAGAGGTGAGAAACATTCCCTGTACTATTCTTACAAGATTGTGACAGTCTTTTATATTCCTACATTGATCTTCTGTTATATACTTTTGTTTCTATCTTCTGTACCAGCTTTAAACATTCTGTTCTGGTCAATGGGTTCCCTGTAATCCATATCTGTATCTTTAGAAAGTCTCCTCATTTTTTTCTCAGTGGAATTGTTTCTCTTTATGTCTTCAGAATACCATTCTTGAGAGTTTCCTATTCTTCCTAGGACAATTTTCCCTGCAATTAATAACAATAATAATGATGATAGTAAATGAGTTATATAGCATTTTAAAGTTTGCAAAACTCTATTTATTCATATCTGTATCTAACTATCTAACCTCATTTGATTCTCACAGCAACTAGGTACTATTTATTCCCAGGTCCATCTTATAAATGAGAAAACTGAGGCTGTAGAACTTTAAATCATGAGAGCCTACCTATCTTTTCTTCGGAATGCCTTGAAATCTGCTCTCCAAAATTGATGGTGCATGTCAGATTCCACCATGCTTTCCTTTTCTTCCCTATCACAAAATCTGAGAAGTAGAGGTCACTTCCTAACAAGATCCCCCTCATTTCTACTCCTCTGGTAACCAGTTTTTCTTGGTTGCCAAGAATTAGATCCAAATGAGAAGGTCCTCTCATTGGTGCCTCCCACTTTTTGAAAGATGAAATTGTCTTTCAAGTATGTCAAGTATGTTATTACTTGCTCTGATTTCAGCAAAGGACACTCTAGTGGTCAGGCTAGCAGATGCCCAGGTGGTTTCTGAAGCTCCCAGTCACTACTATTTCATGCCCCTGAGACAAGCCTGCTGTCTCTTCTCCTCAGATTCCTCCATCTGCTTCTTCTCTCTGCCCAGGTACTCTGCAGCATATGCTAGTGATGCATTGCATTTATTTCTATCTCCAGTTATCATCACGCACACATTGTCCTCATTCTGCATCTTGGATTTTCTCACATTGTAGTTTCTCTCTCTCTCTCTCTCTCTCTCTCTCTCTCTCCTTTTTATATCTCCTCCACATACTTTTACCTGCCCTGTTCATTTCTGATAAGTTATATCTCTTTATGGCCATATTTCAGTTATGTGTTTGATCCCCATAAACCTCAGATTGAGATGAGGTTAATGTGGCATTCTTCTTTAAGACCTTCATTTCACCTTGCTCAGTAGCAGCTAGGTGGCTCCATAGTGCAAAGAGCACTGGGCCTGGAGTCAGAAAGACCTAAGTTTAACTCCAGCCTCAGAGCCTCACTAGCTGTGTGACCCTGGGCAAGTCACTTAATCTCTGTTTGCCTCAGTTTCCTCAATTGTGATGATAAAATGAGACAATATTTGCAAAGAGCTGAGCACAGTGCCTGCCACACAGTAGATGCTTGATAAATGCTTATTCTCTTTCCCTCCTCATTATTCTTAATTTGTATATAGCTACCTGAGACTGGCCTTTATTGCTAGCTCCTTTCATGAGTGTGGTTTTTCTGTGAATTTGTGAGCATCTCTGCTGCTATTTTCCTAACATTATACTCTCCCTGGGTCATTTTACAGCTCCAGGGATGGCTTGGAGTTCCCCAATTTATTCTCTCAATAAGTCCCATTATAGTCTGGGTGCAAATATGTCAGTCACTCCTATTAAATCATGACTCCATGCCTGTGTCCCCAGAGTGATGGGTTATGCTAGATCCATGCAGCTGCAATGCCCAACTGAGTGAAAAGAGCATGACATTTAATGAATACCACCTGTCTGGCAATGAGATGTCAGGGCTTGGCCCCTTTGAGCCTTCCAGGACCTGACACAATCAGTTGTTGTTTTATATAAACAGAAGCCCCTTTTCCTGCCTTGGTTCTCATTGGTGCCATTTTCATCTCTTTCATGAGCATATTCTACATTGTGGTGTTAATCAATCCACATTTATTAAATCCCTACGATGTGCCAGGCACTATACCAAGCACTGGAGATATAAAAAGAGGCAAAAGACAGTCCTTGACCTTGTAAGGAGCTTACAGTCTGATGGGGAAACAACAAATAAACTAATACAGACAAACAAACAGGATAAATAAGAAATAACAGAGGTCAGGTACTAGAATTAAGAAGGATGCAAATGAGGTTGATGGGGTGCTTGGGTGCTTGTGCTTGTACTTGGACCCCAATTTCTCCCTAGCTTCAGAAACACTGTCTCTGACAACCACTCCCCAGCCCAAGTCACTGTACCTAGCAATTACTCATGGGTGGGCCCCAGCATGACCCTTATCTCTCTCCCTGGTGCAGCTACACAAAGTTGGGTGAGAGAGTGCTGCGCTGCTCTGGCTCCAGCCCTCAGATCATGTCTCTGGAAGCCTCCCAATTCCTTAGTAAGTTCCTGTCTTGTGATAAAGCTTTCCCTTGTTGCAGAGCATTCTCTCATCAAGACAGAGGGAGAGGGGTGCCTTGCCCAGCCCAAGGAGTTTTGTCCTTGGCCAGCCCAAGGACTCTTCCTCCTGCCAGACTCCACAGATCCATACCTCTGTCATCTCCCTCCCTGTCTGGTACACTCCCTGTACTTTCTCCTCTATAGCTCCCAAAGACACCTACACCTTTAGATTACCTCATCAGTGTCCCTGGCATTCCTTTCCCATGCCCTTTTCCATATAAACCCTAGCTCCATCCTCAGTCTCTTGCAGGTTCCTTAAGAATCCTTGCCAGCTGAAAAGTGTAACAATAAACTCTTTGCAACTTGGCTTAAAGATTGTTTGAGTTTGTGAATTCATTCCAGATGACCCCATCCTGTACTTAGGTCTTTGAGGGGTCTCAACCTCTCAGACCTCAACAAGGTGACTTCCCTGTCCTTGACAGGGAGAAGATTTTGTCATAAAAATCTTTTTCATCTCCATTCTGTTTATTTTTCTCCTTCTAGTTTTATCCTTAAAGGCTCATAGGACATCTTTTAAAAATTGAGTTTCTTGCCCATCCCCCCCTTCCAATTTTATTGCTTTTGACTTTGACAATGTGATAATCTCACATGCTCTTTTTTTCCCCCTGAGATTGTACAAATGAAATTATATTGTAAACTGGTGCTACTCCTGGCTGCCTGTATCCCTCTGGTTGGCAAGTAAGTCAAGTGTTTGCTGACTCAAGAAGTTTTTAAAGCTTGTTTCTTCTTAATTATGGAGATGGGTGCTTATTATCTATTATGGTATTATGCCTCCCTTACTTAGCTCTGTGCCTGGCACAGAGTGGGCACTTAATAAATGTTGATTGATAAGAGTTGGCATCTAAGTATCTAAATTGGTGACTCTTAGCATCTCTGTTGCTCCATCAATCTGTAACACAATTTACCTGCAAGGGTTCATGGACATTGCTGAACTGAGGATCAGAGGGTCTATGATAGGAGCAGTTGCAAGACTGGAGCCAAGAGGTGGACCTGGGGTCCTGACTGAAAAAGGTTTTGAATTTCTGGTGACCAAAGAAGCTGAATTTCCTGTTCTGGTCAGTACACAAGCTCCCATGAACCATGATGTGATCAGTAGGGCTCATGAGATCTCGAGTAAAATAAGCTAGATTTTCTTTATATCTGCTGTTTCTCCCACAGAATGTAAAGTCCCTGAGGGAAGAGATTGTTCTGGTTTTGCTTTTATATTCTAAGCAACAAGGGCCTGATACATAGCAGGCATTTAAAATGCTTATTGATGTCATCTATGAGTTTTGCTCTGGACTTTTTTTTTTTAGCAATTAGTACCCACAATGATGACATCATACCATCAACACATCCTAAACATGATGGAGCTTATCAGCTTTTAGATGGTAAATTTTTATATTCTTAGGCCAAGAATATGACTTTCTCAAAGTGGCTGCATCTGTTGTTGCCACTGACCCGCCCTGTTTTTTAGCACTAACAGACGAGGCTGTCACATTATGGCTCTTGCACAGTTGATCAGATCTTTATCCTGGTGCGTGCTAGTTTTCCAAGAGTAGGCTTTGCTGTGATGTTTCTCAAACCAATGATATCCATATTGGTCATGTGTCAAGAAGGTGAGTGCCACAAAGTGAGAGCTGTATTGGAGACTTAGGAAAGCTTTCTAAAATCAGGAAGAAGGACCTATTTAGTCTCTTTGGAGCCTATTTTCACAAATAAGCAAAATGGAAAGAATGAGATGAACAAACTCCAGTAGGACTTTGGGTCCAGAAGGCACTTTTATTTATTCAAAAAATATCCAAGGCACAGACCAGACTCAAGCAGCATATTTCATCCCATGGATGGTGTCATTTTGAACAAAAGTATTCTATCTGTAAAGAAGAGAGAGGCAGTCCGGCACAGGGGAAGAGGACTGGTCTGGGTGTTAATAGGTTCTAGTCCTGGGTGCTTCATCCTGGCTCTGCCCCTAATTTGCTCAGCAAATCTCTTGATTTCTCTGAGCCCCAGTTTCTTCCCCTGTGAAAAAAAGCACATTGTACTAGGTAACCCCCTAAGGTCCCTTCTAGCCCACATAGTCTATTCTATTCAAACCTATAGAATTACAATGATTAATTTTCCCAAAGGTATGTCAAAAGAAGTAATATAGACATTGTTAAACTACTGTCTAAACTACATGCAAGTTAGACCTTTTATATGTTTATACCGCATAAACATATGTGATCATAATACAGAATAGTGACGAATTATCACATTCTATTGCAAACCTAAAAAACATCTTTTAGGTTTCATGCTACAAAAACTGAAGGATTTAGGAGAGCCACAGCTCAAACAGGGGACTGGTATAGTCACCAAAGCTCGGGATTGAGCTCTTATCCTAGCTCATCCTTGGTTTGTCTATTTTTTCTCATCTCACTTTGGGAATGCAGCTCCTAGACCTCATACTACAAACCAGGAGACTCAAAAGGACAGCCGCAGCTCAAACAGGGCACTGATGTAGTCCCCGTTCTCGGGGTCCAGCTTCAGGGCTCTCTCATAGCACTCGATGGCTTGTCTCTTTTGTCCCTTCAGCTTGTGAATGAAACCCAGGGCCCCCCAGCTCTTGACATCAACGGCATTCTCATAGAGTCTCCGCGTGGCCAATCTCTGCAGAGCGCCAATCAGTTTGGAGGTAATAGAAGACTCCACTTTGATCTTTACGCCTTCTAAATAATGGTACATAGCTGCATCCTCAGATTTCCTGTGGGTCTCCTGAAAGCGGCCGTAATGGAAATGGACCTGTTGCTTGTTCTCGTCCGTCACGTGCTGCAGGTGAAGGGCTTTCTGAAATACATCTTCTGCCTTTTCGTACTGACCCGCCTCTGCGTACATGTTGGCTAGGTCTGTGTAGGCAAACACAAACATGGAGTTCTGCTCCATGGCTGCTCGAAAATGAAATATGGCAGACTGAATCAGCTCCCGTTTCTCTTTCTCTTTTTCCCTGGGTCGTTTTTTGGTCGACTGTTTCACGAGGATCATCAGAACTTTGTAGCAAACCCCTATCTGATGATGCAAGAAAGCGGAAGTGGGTGTTGCCTGCAAGGCGATTTTTAGGAGCTGAAGAGCTTTACTGGGGGAGTTTTGTCTCCGGTAAAACTTCGCTGCATAGCGAAGGACATAAGGCTGGGAGGACATCTTCTCCAAGGCCTCCCGAATGTACCGTTCTCCCTCAGCTTCCTGCTTTAGGTCTTGAAGCTTCAGGGCAAGTAGGGCCATGACAAATGTGTTGTCCGGATTCAGCTCCACCGCTCTCCGGAGAGGGTCCAGGGAGGATACCCTTTGGCAAGAATATTCCTTATCGTCCAGACGATAGGCTGCGATGGCAAAGCCAGAGTTGAACTCAGGGTTGTCGGGTTCTATTTTCAGGGCCTTCTCAAAACATGCCTTGGCCCTCTCATAATACTTCCTTCCACACTTTAGCAGAGCCCACCCTTCCTCACAGTAAACCTCGGGGCATTCTATCTTATAGCGGGAGGCATTGGGAAGCTTCCGGTAGCCTTTTTGAACCTTGTCTGCATAATACTGAGCTTTGGAAAATCTTTCCATATAATAATACACCCAGGCAAAATTCCCCCAGGTAACGAGGCTTCTTATTTCCACTTGGTCAGCATGCTCCACCTGGATTCTCTCTTCTGCATGTTTTAAGCATCTCAGTGCCTCCTCATTTTGACCTTTCAGATGTTTTACATAGGCCAATAGGTTATAAAGGGTGACTTTGGATTTCATATCTAGGAATTCAATCTGGTCAATTATTGTGTCTTCCAGATTAAGTAGATCAATGTCTTCCTTCAGCAAGTTCCATGTAAAGTGGCATTTCAGCTGCCTCAGGATAATTTTTAAGGAATTCCTAGGCATTTGACTGCAAAAGATAAAATCAATTTCAATTTAGAAGAACCAATGGAAATGACAAGGGATTAATAATTCCCCAAAGAGTGAAATCTCTTATTTACAGCATCATGAGTTTCCTTGCCCTTCAAATACACCTTTTTCCCCTGTTGTGGATCTGAACGGGTAACTAATAGGGTGATTTTCTGCCATTTTATGGTAGTAGTAGTAGTAGTAGTAGTAGTAGTAGTAGTAGTAGTAGTAGTAGTAGTA